GGTGGGGTGGGGTGGGGTGGGGCGGGAAGGACCGGAGAGGAGGCAGTGCCCAACGCAAAAGACATGCCTGTGCCTCTGCACACAACTCAGCACACAACTCAGCACACAACTCAGCACACAACTCAGCTGCGCCCAAAAACAAGGCTGCTGCTAATCCAGACGAATCTCAACCCCGCTTTGCCAGTGCTGCTAAGAAGGCGGGCGCGCCGCTCTGGCGTTCACAGTGACGGGCTGGGAGGCAGCGGACAGGCTAGCGCACGCCAGGCCGTGAGTGCATACAGGCGTGGGATCCAACCTTGGATGAGCGCGCGCGTGAATTGCCGCTGAGCCTCGGGGACCGTGAAGCCCCAGTTTGACCCCACTGCAGGGAGAGCGAGCAGGAAAGCACAACGCCGGGCAGCCAGATTGGTGTGTCGCCCAGCTGCAGTGGGCCAGCGGGGGCGGCCAGCAAGGCCGCGGATTCTGGTCACGAGCGCGGCAGGCACAGCGTGCACAACCATCCAAACCCACTGCTGCGCCGACGTCCTTGGTCACTTTTGACCCCACTGCAAGCCTCCACATCGCCCGGCCCAACTCTCTAAACCACAAGCAGCCAGGCCCGCGCTGCTCCACCTCCCCACCCCTGACGACACCAGCCCATCCCGTCCACCCAGCGCCGGCACCCCAAGGGGCAAGGCGCCCTTGCCCCCAAGCCCTCGCCCGCACCCCCGCGTCCATAGCCGCCGCCCCGCGCCCCGCCCCCACCGGGCCGGGCTGGCCCCGCCCCTCTTACCGTGCAGTGACACGACTGCGATGTCGCTGCCGGGCCGCTTCGCGGCCGCCGCGGCGGCGCCCACGCGCGCCGCGTGCGCCGCGCTGAGGTCCGTCATGCACACGCCCGGCCGCGCCTCCCCTGCCTCCCACTCATCATACACGCCACTGGACTCGTGACCCAGCCCCCACACCAGGACCCGAGGCCCATCCACGTCCTCAGGCCCAGCTGGGGCGGTGTCGGCGTCAGCAGCGGCGGCGGCGGCGGCGCTGCGGGACGGTTGGCCGTCTGCGGCCGGCGGCAGCTGGATTACGGTGGGGCGGCAGGCTTGGGAGGCGTTCCTGCCCGCGCCGGCCACCATAATTCCTGCGGTCCAGGCGAGCAGCAGTGGGTCCAACTCTGACTGCCTGGAACACTGTGAATATACTATACTACTATTAGACGCTGCCGTGCCTGCAGCGAGCGGCCCCTGCACGCACAGCCAGCGGCCCTGTGTAAGGACAGCTGTCTAAGCACACGCTTAGACGACCCCTCTCCCCTGCCGTGCCTCGCCCGCCAGGCCAGTGCGCGCGATGATTGGGGCGCCGCGGTCTCCGCATGGTCGAGCGCCCTCACCAGCTCCCTCCAGCGTTTCAAGGGTCTCCATCAGTCCGGGGATCTGCCAGTCCAAGCAGTGGTTGTTGGCCAGTCCGGCGACCTGGACGCCGCCGGCCTTCAGCGTCGCGACGTTGCCTGTGCAGGTGGTGCCGAGTATGGAACGAATCCGTGGCCAAGTTTTGCAAAATCGGCGGTAAGGTGTCCAAGCAATTAGGCGCAGGGTTGAAGGATGGATATGGCCCCTCGGGCTGTCGCAGGGTTGTTATGATGGCGCTTGGACACACGCAAAGCCAAACACGGTCGCAAGAGCAACGCACGTTCCCCATCATCGCCGGCACCCGCGGCGGCCGGCCCAATACAGGTGACAGGGTAGCTTTCTAGGGGGCATCACTGGTGTCGTCTGCTGCCAACTCTGATTCGTGCGCGCACACCGTCCTCATGATGACCCACTTCGCCGGGCCGCAAAGCTGGCGGCGCCCACCAGGGTGGCAGCGGTAGTTAATGCCCTTGTCAGGCCAGGGCTTGTCGTGCGTAGTCATGGCGGTCTCCAGGTTGATGACACGCACGTCGGGGCGCATGGCTTCCATGTCCTGCAAGGGGTGGTGTGCGCATATGCTTGTGTGTGTGCACGCGCTCAGTCACACGGCTCTCTGAGTGGGGCCGCGTGCTGATTGCAGGAGAGGCCGAAAGGACGTGGCGAGCGCAAGAGCTATCACAAGAGGCCGCGGGGCAAGACGAAACCAATGAGCACCAGCAGCCGCTGCAGCCGTCGTCTGCCCACACCTGTCGCCAGGCAGCCGCCGGCTGGCAGCCATGGCAGGTCATTGAGGCGGTCCCTTGAAGAAGGAGTGCTCAGCCCCCCCTCCGTACCTGCAGCGCGACACCCCACGGGTACTCGGGCCCGCGCCGCTCCGGCAGCTTGCCGTTGACCTGCAGATGACGGCATGGACCAAACACGCCGGCGTGGTGGGAAAGCCGGTTCATGCCGCCTTGGCAGCAGCAGTGGCCACTGCGATCCAGGAAGGGTTTCTACGCATGCGATGGGATCATGCCACCGAGCACGCCTGTGCAATCTATCCAAGGGCCCCGCCCGCGCGCGGTCGCCCCACTCGCCAGCCACCCCATGGCCGCCGGCCGCGTGTGCGCGGCTTCGAAGTGGCCACAACCCCTCTCGGCGGCTCCCCTCAGGGCGTCGAGCGCCCGTCCATTCAAAATTTATGCACCTTGGCGTTCAAAGTCTCTCCTTACCCCGCCCTCCCACCTCCCGTGTCTCTCTCCCTCTTTTAGCACCCCCCTCCCAACCCATTGTCATCCCCACCGCATCCTGCCCCAAACGACGGCAGTCCAGGGACCTCCACCTTTTCCGCCATTCTCACGTAGTCGCGGGCATCCCTTACGTAATCCTCGAAGATCACGGGCGCCACGTGGTGTGGCAGGATCTGGTCAACCCCCCGGCTGCCGGGCGGGGCAGCCGGGGTGCAGGTCGAGCAGGTGGGGTTGAGGAGTGGGGTAACACAGCGCTGCACTTTACGGGAGGGCATCGTGGCGGGGCGGCCCCGGCGTAGGCGTGGCAGCGGCGGCGCTACGGTCGGCGTCAACACAGCAGAGGCGGGGGCAGCGGGGCCGTTGCGCCGCCAAGTGTGTTGCCCCGCAGCGCGGAAGGCCTCTCACCCGAGCATCACATCGCCAGTGAGCATGAGGCGCACCGTGCCCGGCGGCTTGGGCACGCCCGGCAGTCGCGCTGCCATCGCCGCTTGCTGGGGTGATGCCGGCGTAGCACCGCTAGCGTTGCTGCCAAAGGTGAAGGCACCGAGCAGCGTAGATAAGACGATGCGCCTGGATGGCAGCAGTCCGGAGTAGGCAAACATGCCAAGAACGGAACGCACAAGTGGCGGATTGTCGAGATCGATCGCACGGCAAGCAGCTAGCTTGCTTTGCCGGTATCCCGATCCACTCCGATAGTGAAACTATTACAAAAACTCACGACATCAGATCATTGGGATAGTTCCTGAACACTCTAAGTGCTAGGACCGCTTGACTGGATGCTGACATCACTGGTTGACTAATCAGGTGCTGAGCAGCCCGCCTGCGAACAGCACACAGCTATGCCGTCGTGAGCCTGTGCACGTTGGCTGAGAACCCCTGAAAGACGTGGTCAGACCCCCAAAAGCAGCATGCAGGTGCTCGCCATGAGCAGTGCGACCGACCAGACACCAAATTGCACCGGCGTGTGCGCTGCGGTCGTCTGCGGCGAGCCCCCTTCTACGAGGCCCTGCCGATCGCACATCATTCAGCTTTGACAAACGCGATTCCAGCGGACTGGGATTGCCAGCACATGAGCAGGCCCGTTGCTCCCCTGCTGCGACGTACACACGTCTTCCCGCTGCTCTCAAGCGTC